GACAACTCCTAACCGCATCGACCCAACGTTGGACCAGCATGCCGAGATAGTTCGGGCTTGTTTAGTGTTGAATTGGGACCAAGACAAAAAAAGTTCTTCTAGCAAGGGATGGAGAGAAGCGACAACTGATCGTCAATAACAGCTGGAACTGCTGAGTGATAATGATCATGAGAAAGAAAATCAATGCAAAGAAGATCTTGATCATCAGCCACCGGTTCGAGGAGATGTTGTTGAGATACTTGAGCAACGCTCCTTGTGCACCTTCGACATTCGACAGTGTATTATCCATGAACCATGTTCGAGTCGTTAACCTATTTTTGAGTCGAACCTCAAATTTAGCTCCGAGAACCTTTTTTTGAGCTTTAAATTACCCTTAGTCGAGAGGTACAATATTAAGAAAATTTTTACAAAGTAAAGAACCTTAAGCTAAGAAATTTCTCTAAGTTGGCAATTCAATTAACTAACAATGGATAAGTTAATTATAAAATCTTTGTGCTCACTAATGTAGATTTTTTAGGAGTCGAGCCCTCGAGCTGTGCGACACATCTTCATTTTCATCACCTTCTATGGGTATCAGGTGCGGTTCTATACTATGGTTTATTCCTTATAACCATATCGTAGTATAGTTTTGATACGTGTGTGATGTTGGCTGGTGGGCCGAGTTATCAGTTTTTCCTACTAGCGGTACTGGTTGATGACGACAATACTAGTAGAAGCGATTGATGCTGGGTATACTACTATCGAGACCGGTTGATGCCGAAAGCACTAGTGGTAACCAGTTACGAGACCAACAGTCATGAATTTAGGTTAGCGGTGTATAATAGTCAAAAGTTGGGAAGATTATGGAGCCTAGAAATAAGAGTCGCTAACCCGAGTTTACCTGGGGGCTTGAAGTCGGTGATAGTGTGTGTGATGATGATAGTCTGTGTGTGATGATGATAGTCTGTCTTACGATAATAGCTTGTGTGACAATGATTTCATGTTCATATGATTATTATGATATTTAAGCTTATACGAAATCAATGCATAGTATGCTTTTACCACTTAGCAAAGAGGATTTGCTTACCCATTGTTTTTCAGGTTAAGCAGCTGTCGACAGATACGAGAGGACAGACGTGGTCATTACTTAGTTGCATTTATGTTTCTGCAAACTCGTTTTGATGAAACTCTTTGTGGATTTGAGTATTTCATGTTTTGAAACTATGTTTTTTTTATATTGAGACTTTGAATGTTTTGGTTGTTTCCAGATGTCTTTGTTTGAAAGGAAAGAGTTTCTTAATAGTGTCCGAGAAAATTGTTTTGGAAAATATTTCTAAAAGTTCAAATCATTTCTAAGAATTATTGTTTTTTTAACAATAAGCGAGGTTACATATAAGTTCCGAGTGTGGAAGTCTATACCTCATACTAAGATAGATTTATCAATCACTTAGCTTAACTTCGTTTTCGTTTGCGTCCCAACAGTCTTCTATATTATACGTTTTTCTTTGACTTGGTTATTGGAAGTTTCTTTCGCCATACATTCTTTTCTCCTGAAGGGAACGGCTCAACAAATAAAATGTTATTATAACCAAGAAATGGACAAAACATAGATTACTTATCAGTTCACCTAGTTTTTCAATGTTCGGTGTTTTTATCTTCACCATATAATATATTTGGGATAGTCATCATAAACTACACAATACAAACCTATTAACAGCTATTGACTTTCTACAATTATACTACTTAGTTTTAATTTTATATATACCTTTTAATATTTTTCATGATTTATAATAATTTAATATTTTATTAATGTGCATATATGATAAATCAAAGTTTATGATTATATTTCATCACATTCTGATGAGGATAGTTAATAGCTTAATTATTATTATTATTATTATTATTATTATTGTTATTATTATTATTATTATTATTATTATTATTATTATTATTATTATTATTATTATTATTATTATTATTATTGTTATTATCTCTTATTTATCTTTAAGGTGGTTAGAAGATATTTATTTACTTGTTTGATAAGTTAGGGATTGTGGGAAATCTTGAACTCTATTTATTAGCAGCCTGACAGAATGTACGATCAGTTGAATATGAAATAAGAATTGATATTTGAGTTTTTACATGTTTTACGAGAGAGTATCTCGTTTACTCGTTTATCTATCCCACTCGTACGCTTTCCCTACATCAGTTGGTATCAACAGTCAGTACGATCGCGATGCCGCCGGGACGAGAAGATGCTGCAACCAAA